AGTGTAAATTACTATGAATTGAGTTCTTTATCACAATATTTGAGGTTTGTTTTTGCAATTAAGTTGAGCAAATGTTACATTTGCTTTTTAAAGCCTACATTCACCAGACAACTTCATCACATTTTCCATATGTTGCCTTAATCCAAAAGAAAACTTAATATGGTATTTTTGCCCTGTGTATATGTTTAGGAAACAAATATTATTTTAAACATGTAATAGATTGCTGCTAAGCCATGACACACTCCACTTTATGGAAAAAATGAAAAGAATGTCTTAATGAATTTTTGTGTTAATGGTACTTTAATAAAGTCTAATTTACTTACAGTAGGACACACAAATACCAAGTCTATGCCACATTGAATTTTGACAAATGTATGTATCTACATAGCCATCACCCAGATCAAGATAGAGAATATTTCCATCAGCCTTGGAAATTTCCTTGTGCCTACCTTCAGGAAGCACAGTTCTAATTTTCATTACTATAAATTTTCATTAGTAAAAATGCAGATGGAATCATACATTTTTTTCTATTTGGCTACTTTTGCTTACCATAGTGTTTTGTTTACTCACTTATTTCTGGTGTTATTTCATTCTCTTTATTGCATAACAGTGCACCCTTGTATGAGAACAATGCCATTAGGATTTTTATCTCTCGCCTTTTAAATATTGTTTCTGGTTGAATAAGTTCTTGGTTTCTGAATCTGCAGGAGTTGCATCATTGTTATTCTCTCCCCTCTCCTCTATTTCATCATTGAGATCAGGAAAGTAGGATTTTGGTATTTTTAAAAAAATGTCCTAGGAACAATAAGACACTATAGATTTTTCATAAAGTGTCCATTTGATGACTTGGAATTTGGGGATGAGGGAATGTGGCTGGACCTAGGGGTGGAATCTAGGGATTTTTTTCCATCATCTTGTTTTTTAAAAGATAGTGGAGCTAACGTGAAAGACCAAATGGTGTGTTGCCCATGCTCCATTTAAGGCACTCTGAAACAGTTCCCTAATGGCATCCACCTCATTGCTGTTTAAGTGACTTTGATGGTTCACCAGATGAACCAACACTTTGCTCACCTGCTTGTCTGTTCTACCCAAACTGCTCACTTTTGTGGGCCATTTGGAATGCTGCCCTCTAGTAATGGTGCTAGTGTTATAACCTAGATTTCAAGCATCCCTGTCTTTGCCCACTCACTGCCTCTTTTCCTTGCAGATGATTTGCTCTGATACCATCACCACTGATTTTCTTTACTGACTGCCTACCCGTCAACCACCACTCACTATATGGCCAATTCCAGCCTCCTTGTACCCTGAGATTTCATTGTCTATAGTAATAATCATTCCCTTTAAAACACCTTCAATTCCTTGACTTCTTTTCCTCTGCTATTCTCACCTAGCAAATTTCCAACTCCAGCTGCTGGAGAAAATTACTCAGCTAGGGTGACTGATAAACTTTAAGATAGAAGATTTAACTGGACAACCAGCTTTGTCTAGCAATCCCATCTACTGAGGGTTGCCTTTCCACTTGAACTAGCTGCTTTGTACTTTGTCTCCTCATACCCTTCTACCTCACCTCTTTCAATTTCTCATTCCCCACAGCTGATGTCACTTTATCCTGAAGTAAGAAAGGGAAAGTTGTTTGAAGAAATTACCTTATCCTCCCATCAACAAATTTAAAACCCTGTCAACATCAGGGCCCTCTCCTTTTTCTTCTCGCGTAGTGGATGAGGTGTCCTGGCTTTCAAAGTTTTATTCTTCATTTTGCTCAGGATCCTGTCATCTCCTTGCCATTTAAATTCAACGAACTCGTTTATTTCTTAACTAACATTAGTTTTGAGGGCCATTTCACACAGTTTTTTTTGACTTTGCATCTTGATTTACATCAAAATATAACTCCTGCCTAGATGACCATAGCTCATCTTTCAGGTTTTAGGTTTAAATATCATTTCCTCAGAGGAATAGAAGGCCAGACTAGTTTAGGTCATCAAGCTATAGGTTCTCATTACACATGAACATTTTTTTTTCATGGCATGTCTCACACATGGCAATAAATTGTTCAGTTCTAATTATTTATCCAATGTATCCTCCTCTGGATTATCTGTATTGGCATTATGTCTATTGCAAAGCCTGGAATGAAGCAAGTGATCAAGATAAATTTTGATAGGGTGAATGAATTAATATGCAAGTTACTGAAAGGGTTCAATAAATGCTAACCCTCTTTCCCTTTCCCATCTCGTACTTAGAGAAGTTGAAAATTCCAGGCTTATATAGTCAGTGGATGCTATCATTTCTGCAGGAGAAAGACAAATTCATGGTGTGACTGATGTTAGCAGATATTTATAGTTACTTAAGAACATACTCACAGGCACCTCTTGTAGGCAGTCAAAAATATAGCTCTAGATATTAAGGTCAGAGTTAAGGATTATAGATCTTTAATCATAAACTGTTTTATACCCTTTAAAATTTGTTGTGGTATGCTCCTATGTGTCTCAAAGAGAAGGGAAGGAGGACAAGTGGGTCTCAGGAGTTAAATGCCAAAATATAAAATGCATAGTGAATTTGGCATTGTATGTTTAAAAGTATTTAAAATGTGATCTGACTAGGAAGGGGTCAGTCTTGAAAGAGTTACAATGAAAATTTAATGCAAATAGAATTGTATTTTCTTTTCTCTCCCCAGTTTTTGACAATAAATTCTAAGCTCAGATTTAAGATCTTTTCCTTGAAAAATAAAACAAACAAAAAAATTCATTCAAAGAGAGTAATTTTCCAAAGTTATGGTCATGGAATTTTTGGAGTCTAGTGAAGTTAATTATAGTCTTACAGGATGAGACCCAATCTCAAGTAAAGGTCAGTTAGGAAGTTTAACCTCAAACAAGGTATTAAACTTCGTAAATGTATCTGGTACTTAAAATTCTTTTAGTTTTCCCCCTTTTTCTTGCGTGGGGGGGGTGTCCAGGGTCTTGCTCTGTAGTTCAGATGGGCCTTGAATTCATGATCCTCCTGTCTCAGTCTCCCAAGGGCTGGGACTGCAGGCTTGTGCCCCAACCATGCCCAGCTCTAGGTACTTAGAATCCTTTACATCTTTTAAAACCACATCAAAATACTATCATCCTTATGCATTTTCAACAAATAAGCTTGTTAATATGATCAAAACTGAATAAAGAAAAATGTAATCACTTCCCCCTTTGACCTATGTTTATCATTCATTCATTGCTCAGCACTGCACATTAATGTAGGGCTACTCTGGAATTATAGACCTTCCTTCCTTCCTTCCTTCCCTTCCCTTCCCATTTCTTTCCCTCCCTTCCATCTTTCTTTACTTCCTTTCTTTTTGAAGTGTTAGGGATTGAACCTAGGGCTTTGTGCATGCTAGCTGTACCACTGTGCTATAGCCCTAGCCTCAGAATGCTCAGCATGTTAACTTTTCAAATTTGTCTTAGCGTGATAAACTCAAGTTTGTACTAAACAGTCTTCAAGTTCATTAGCGGAGAAATAGGAAATCAGTAATTCTAGCAGAGTGGCTACAGGAATTGAGTGAGGGGATGTGAACTGCCTGTGACAATGTCCTGGTCATGGCCCATGGTTGCTTATGAGATGTAGCATTGCTCTCTGTCCCGTAGCTTAGGGTATTGTATTTAATTCTAGACTTTGAGGTGAATGAACTTCTAATATTAAAACATTGCCTACATTTGGAGATCTTTGTTGTTAACTTACTCTATTTTATCAAAGCCAGCTCCTTTTTATTCTTAAAATTTTCCTCTTGGATTTATATAAGCTATCAGACAGATTTTAATTCCTTTAGAAGCTTTTCTTCTCAACAACAGAATATAAGAAAATAAATGTCTAATGATTTTGCTATGGAATTCAGTAAGTAGTAGATTTCATTTTGCCACTGTAGAAACCAAAACTTAAAATTTTGTGCCATCAGGAAGCTGGGAAAGGAAGACTACTAATAATTAAACAAGTAATGAGGTAATATTGTTGGCCCAATTAAAAGTCACAGTATGACGAAATAAGCTATTGGTAGTAAAGAATAGTAAATTGTAACGTCTGATTTGGCACTGAAGGCACAAAATGTAGTAAAACATGCATTGTATCTCTCTATGGCTCTTTGCAATTTCCTTGTTCTTAGGCTTTGGTATATGTATGTGTCTGTGTCTGTATACATGATTTAGAAGAGAGATAATGCTTCAGGTCTATTGATCTAAGATACTTTTCATGAACACCTTCAGCTAGAAATATGTTTGGGTTGAACAAGAATAAAAAAGTGAAAGGAAGTTCCTCCATGTATGAACTTTGTGAATATAAAATTTCATTCCTCCTTATAAGGCTATTGATTGTTGAGCTAGTAGTTACTTGAACTAGACAGATATTTACTTCTAGCAAGAACAAGGGATTGGGGTAGAAAGGACTCCTTATACATGTAATCCATCACTGCTCCTCAGAAACCAGCAGGAATAATAAGTGCATTGCTGATGAGCAAAATTTGACCCCAAGAATTTAATTGCTTAGGTTGTTAGCTATTAAGTAATCGTCTAGCTATGTATAATGTAATTGTATACATTGCTATGTAAATACCTTCAAGAGATCTTCCTAAATTCCTTTTAATTTTTTAAAAACTCTCTTCCTGGGAAGTTTTATGAAATCCATTTGTTTATGCTTCAAGCAAAGTTATACGGGTAGCAACATCAAATTACATTCAATTCAGTGACAGTTGCTGTATTTTTTGCCAATTTTTAAATTATAGTATGGAAATATTTCTAATGAATTATAAATATGTAGGTAATTTATCTACATGTATTATTTTATTTTACTTTTTTGTGGTGCTGGGCATCAAACACCAAAGCAAGGTAAAAGTGAATATGCTTAATTTATGTGATTAGGTGAAATTTTGAGATTTGTTGAAAGACAGCATGTGTTTAGTGGAAGTTAGGAGGCATTATGGGAAAAATTAATCAAACATCTGCAGCACAGCACTGAGCTCTATGCATCCTGATCTCTCCTCGATGGCGGTCTCCTTGAAACCATGTAAAGATACCAAGAATCTACTGTATTCTTCTGAACACTGCTGCTGTTTATTTCCAGGTTTGCCTGGAATAAAATGTATTTTTATTAGAAAATACAATATCAAGTGGTCAACAAAAGCTTCTGGCTTTTATTGGTCCCCATATCAACATGAAACACATTTCAAACAGAAATTTTTAAAATTAGCTTCCTTTCTCTGACTCATGTTCTTGTTCTCTGTTTCTGTGTCAACATAGAGGAAACACATATCATTTAATTTTTTTGTTGTTGTACTGCATGTGGGTACATTGTAGCATTTACAAAGGTTCTTATAATATATCAAATATGTCATCTTTGAATTCACCCCTCCCCGCTTCTCTCCCTCATTCCTCCCCCGATTCCTGGAACAGTTTCAACAGGTATCGTTTTTGTGTTTACATACATGTTTGTATCACATTCATCCTCCTACCATTTTCACACCACCTTCCTCCTCCCACCAGTGCCAGATGACCTTCCCCTTCCATCCTCCTGTTTTCTGATTTTGTAGAAGAGAAAAACATAAAAGATAAAATGAGAAACATGAGATTTTGCTAGTTTGAGATAAAGATAGCTACCCAGGGAGTTTCCTTGCATTGTTTACATGCATATATGTATTACAGCTCCAGTTGATTCACCTCTTCCAGTTCTCTTCAGTCCTCCCTAATCTGCTTCCCATGGTGGCCCTGGCCAGTTTAAAATTTCTATATTCATTCCTGTACAGTGAGCACATCAACTTCATTCCCCTTAGTGTGACCCATGTCCCTTGCTGCGTTTGTTTTAGGTCTACAATCTGCATATGAGGGAGAACATGCAGTTTTTTGCCTTCTGAGATTGGCTAATTTCACTTATGATGATGTTCTCCAAGTCTGTCTATTTACCTGAGAATGACAAAATTTCATTCTTTTTTTGTGGCTGAGTAAAACTCCATTGTGTATAAATACCACATTTTCTTAATCTGTTCATCAGCAGTTGGGGCATCTTGGCTGTTTCCATAGCTTAGCTATTGTGAATAGTGCTACAATAAACATGGCTGTGCAGGTCCCTTTGTTGTAACCTGATTCACATTCCTTAGGGGTATATCCCTAGGAGTGATATCTGCCGGATCATATGACAGATCTATTTCTAGTTTTTTAAGGAGCCTCCATAGGGTTTTCCATAGTGATTGTATTAGCTTACATTCCCACCAGCAGTGTATGAGTGTTCCTTTTCTCCACATCCTTGCCAGCATTTGTTGTTGGTGGTATTCTTCATGGTAGCTATTCTAACAGGGGTGAGGTGGAATCTTAGTGTGGTTTTGATTTGCATTTCCTTTATGGCCAGGGATGGTGAGCCTCTTTTCCTGTGTTTTTTAGCCATTTGGACTTCTTCCTTTGAAAAAGTTCTGTTTAGTTTAGTTGCCCATTTCTTTATTGGGTCATTGATTTGGGGGAAGTTTAGTTTTTTGAGCTCCCTATACATTTAGGTTATCAGTCCCTTGTCTGATGAATACCTAGCAAAGATTTTCTACCATTCTGTGGGTGGCCTCTTCAATTTAGAGACCATTTCTTTTGTTATGCAGAAGCTTTTTAATTTCATGTAATACCAATTGTTGACCCTTTTTCTTAGTTGCTGAGCCACTTGTGTTCTACTGAGAAAGTCCTTTCCTATGCCTGTTGCTTCAGTGTATTCCCTGCTCTTTCCTGTACAGCTTCAAGGTACCAGGTCTGATGTTAAGTTTCTTAATCCACTTAGTGTTGATACTTGCAAACATAGATCTAGTTTCGGTTTTCTGTAGGCAGATAACCACCTTTCCCAGCAACATTTGTTGAACAGGCTGTCTTTTCTCCATTGTATGTTTTTTGGCACCTTTATCAAAAATTAGGTGGGCATAGCTGTGTAGATTCATATCCAGGTCCTCTATTCTGTTCCACTGGTCTTCATATCTGTTTTTGTGCCAGTACCATGCTGTTTTTATTGCTATGGCTCTGTAGTATAGTTTGAAGTTGGGTATTGTGATACCTCCAGCATTGCTCTTTTTGCTCAGTATTGCCATGGCTATTTGTGGTCTTTTGTGTTTCCAAATGATCTTTAGGGTTGATTTTTCAATGTCTATGATGAATGTCTTTGGGGTTTTGATGGGAATTGCATTGAACATGTTGTTTTTGGTAGTACAGCCATTTTTACTCTGTTGATTCTGTCAATCTATGAACATGGGAAATGTTTGCATTTCTGTAATCTTTGATTTCTTTTTTCAATGGTTTGTGGTTTTCCTTGTAGAGGTCATTTACATCCTTTGTTAAGATTATTCCTAGGTATTTGATTTTTGGGGGGCTATTGTAAATGGAATTATTTTTCTATATTCTTTCCCAATCTGTTCATTGTTGGTCTATAGAAAGGCTACTTTTTTTTGTAAGTTGACATCGTATTCTGCAACTTTGCTGAAGCTGTTTATGGGGTCTAGGAGTTTTTGGGTGGAGTTTTTTTCGATCTTCTGGTATAAGATCATGTCATGTGCGAATAGGGATAGCTTGGCTCCATCTTTATCTATTTGTATTCCCTTTATTTCTTCTTCTTGCCTTATTGTTCTGACTAAGAATTCTAAGCTATGCTGAATAGGAGTGGAGAGAATGGGCACCCCTGTCTTGCTCCTGACTTTAGAGGAAATGGTTTCAATTTTTCCCATTGAGTATGATGTTGTCATGTATAGCCTTTATAATGTTAGGGTACATTCCTTCTATTCCTAGTTTTCTTAGAGCTTTTTATCATGAAGTGGTGTTGAGTCTTATCAAAGGCTTTTTCTGCATCTGTTGAGATGATAAAGTGGTTTTTGTCTTTGCTTCTATTAATATGCTGTGTTACATTTATTGATTTGTGTATGTTGAACCATCCCTGCATCCCTGAGATGAAGCCAACTTGGTCATGGTGAATGATCTTTCTGATATGTTGTTGGATTCGATTTGCCATTATTTTATTGAGGATTTTTGCATCAACATTCATGAAGGAGATTGGCCTGTTTCTCTTTTTTTGGTTTGTCTATGTCTGGATTTGGGATGAGTGTAATACTGGCTTCATAGAGTGAGTTAGGCAGTGTTTCTTCCCTTTCTAATTCATGGAAAAGTTTAAGGAGTATTGATATTAGTTTGTCTTTAAAGGTCTGGTAGAATTCAGTGGAGAATCCATCAGTCCTGGACTTTTCTTTTTGGGGAGACTTTGTTGCTGCTTCAATTTTATTGTGTGTTATAGATCTGTTTAGGTGATTAATATCCTCTTGATTCAATTTGGATAGTTGTATGTATCTAGAAATTTGTCCATTTCTTCTAGATTTTCTGATTTATTTGAATATAGGTTCTCAAAGTAGTCCCTGATGATTCTCTGGATTTCCTTGGTGTTTGTTATCTCTACTTTTTCATTTCTAATTTTATTAAGTTGGGTCTTTTCCTCTCCTTATTTTAGTCAGATTTGCCAGGGGTTTGTTAATCTTGCTTATTTTTTCAAAGAACCAGCTTTTTGTTTCGTTGATTATTTATATGTTTTTTTTTATTTTGAAGGGTCTCATTTAATTAATTTTGGTCCTTATTTTTATTATTTCTCTCCTTCTACTTGTTTTGGGTTTAGCTTGTTCTTGTTTTCCTAGGACTTTGAGATGTAGCTTTAGGTCATTTATTCAGATCTTTCTGTGGTTTTAATATAGGCACTCATGACTATAAACTTCCTCTTAGGACTGCCTTTGCTGTAGCCCATAGGTTCTGATAGGTTGGGTTTTCATTTTCATTAAATTAGAACTTTTTGATTTCTTCTCTTATTTCTTCTATGACCCACTGATCATTGAGCAAGGTGTTTTTCAACCTCCAATTGTTTGAGTATTTTCTGCTGCTTCTTTTGTTGTTGAGTTGTAGTTTTATTGCATTGTGATCAGATTAATATGCAGAGGTATATTTCAGTTTTCTTATTATTTGTTGAGACTTGCTTTGTGCCTAAAATATGGATCTATTTCAGAGAAAGTTCTATGGGCTGCTGAGAAGAATGTATATTGTGCTGCTGCAGGATGGAATACTCTGTAGACATCTGTCAGTTCCATTAGATCTATGGTGTCATTTAGTTCTAGGATTTCTTTGTTATTTTTTGTCTGAGTGACTTATCTATTGTTGATAGACAGGTGTTAAAGTCTCCCACTGCCACTGTGTTGGAGTCTATATGTGCTTTTAAAGTCCTTTAGTCTATGTTTAATGAAAGTTGGGTGCACTAACATCAGGTGCCTATAAGTTGATAATTGTTATTTCCTCTTGATGTATTGTTCCTTATTAGTATGAAGTGTTCTTTATCTCTTTTGACAAATGTAAGCTTGACGTCTACTTTATCTGATATAAATATGTACTCCTGCCTGTTTTCAGGGGCCATTAGCTTGGTAAATCATCTTCCAGCCTTTTACCCTAAGTCAGGTGTTTATTTCTGTCAATAAAGTGGGTCTCTTGTAAACAACAGATTGTTGGGTCTTCCTTTTTATTCCAGTTTACCAAAACAGTTTCTTTTGATAGGGGAGTTGAGTCCATTACATTCAGTGTTTAGTTTTGAGAGGTATGTGGTGATTCCTGCCACTTAGTTGTTTTTGTTGTTTAAGAATTTGGATGTATGCAGCTGATTCAGTGCTACTCTCTCAGTGCTTGTCTGTTCTTCTCATGAGGTTTAATACTTCCCATCCTTTCGTGGTTATGTTTGTTTTCATCTTCTATGTGTAGGATTCCTTTCAGAATCTTCTGTAGTGGTGGCTTGGTGGTCATATATTGTTTTAGTTTCTGTTTATCATGGAAGACTTTTATTCCTCCATCAATTTTGAATGATAGTTTTGCTGGACAGAGTATCCTAGGGCTGAAGTTATTTTCATTCAGTGCCCAAAATACCTCACTTCATGCCCTTCTTGCTTTTAAGGTTTCAGATGAGAAGTCTGCTCTTATTTTTATGGGTTTACCTTTATATGTTATTTGTTTTTTCTCTTTTATAGCCTTCGATATTCTTTCTCTGGTCTCTGTGCTAGTTATTTTAATGATAATATGCCATAAGAGGTTCCATTTTTGGTCAACATTTTTGGTGACCTAGAGGCTTCCTGTACATGAATGGATAGCTCTTTCTTCAAGTGCTTGGGAAATTTTCTGCTATTCTTTTGTTGAATATATTACGTATCCCTTTGGTGTGCACCTCTCTTCCTCCTTTGATGCCCATGATTTGCAGGTTTGGTCTTTTGATGGAATTGCTGATTTCTTGTGTATTCCTTTTGCAGCTTTTGAATCCTTTGTCTAAGAGTTCTTCTGTTTTTTCGTTAATATCTATTTTGTCTTGAAGTCCTGAGATCCTGTATTGCACTTGCTCTAGTCTGCTGGAGTGGCTTTCCCCTGTATTTTTTATTTGATTTATGGAAATTTTTATTTCCAGGGTTTCTGTTTGATTCTTTTTTTGAGGTTTTCCATATCTTTTGTTAAATTCCTCTTTCATATTTGTATTGTCTTCTTTATTTCATATATCTCTTTCTTTTATAGTCTTGTTTCATTTTGGATTTTGTTGAAGTTCTCCCTGAGTTCATTTAGTTGTTTCTATGTCTTCCTATGCCAAGGAATAGGAAGGATGGAGTAATGTATAAAGTTGGTATAGTAGATTATTCAGTGGCTGGTGCATTTTGAGGAGGTCAAGGTAGTGCAGGGAAAGGGAACGGGAGGAGAGGAAAGGGAGGGGGGAAGGAAAGAGGAGTAGATGGGAAAAAATGAGAAAGAAAAAATCAGGATAGAGAAAGGAAAGTGGGACAATAGAGGGCTGAGTGAGTTAGTTTTGGGACAGAATGAAGACAGGAGTTAGGTAACAATAAGATGGAAGAAAAAAATGAAGAAAATAAAAGTGAAAATTAAAAAATTTAAAAATATACAAAAAATAACAAAAGTAATTATATATATTATATTATATATAATGTAATAATATAATATATATTGAACTGATTTATATATATATAAATCATATAAATCAGTTCAATGAATGTTCTGGACTCTTTCTTCTGATTTCAGGTTGAGGTGCGATTTTTCTTTTTTTTAATAGGAGATTTGGCCAAGACTGTCCCTTCTTAAGGTTGGTATGTTGGGTTGTGTGGCAATGAATGTTGTTTTTCCCTGTCTGACAGCTTGGCGGGGGAAGGGGGGGTGTCTCAGCTCTGGGTGCTTGAGCCCAGGCTTACTTAGTGGGGTGGGGCCTCTGGAGCAGGCAGGTTTCAGAAGTGGTGCTGTGAGGGCTTAATAAATGAGCAAGGGCAAGCCTGTGAGTTAGAAATGAGCTTTTTTCTTGGTGAGACTTTCAGTTTCAGCTTGCTCCAGATTTCTCCAAGGAGTACAGTGCCTGGCTTTCCCCACGCGGCTGTTGAGTCACACCCACCCCCACATGGGCTTTTCAGCTTTGTGTTCTGGCCCCTTCTCCCCAGGCAGAGGGGAAATATTCCCTCTGTGTATTTGGCAACCAGTTTTGTCCAGAGGGGGTGCACTAGGATCCCCAGTTGTGCTAGAGTATGAGGTTCCCTCCCAAACAGTGTGTTGCACTCACCTGGCAGGTTAGCAGAATGCCTTGGTTGGAAACAGATTTGCTACAGGGCAGCGCAGGCAGGTGTCAGACAGGTTTTGTGTCTGCATGTCTTTGGTGAATCCCAATCTTCCCAGATGCTTGCAGTTCTCTTTCTGTGTTTCTCTGTGTTGCATTATTGTTGGCAAGGTTGCAGACACACTACAGCAGAGAGAGGTAGCGAGGTGTGCATAGGCAGGCTGCAGTAAGAGGTTCTGTATCTTCATGTATTATGGCAGGTCCAGGTACTCCCAGGTGCTTACAGGTTTCTGCTGTTCTCTGCATTTTATTTTAACTTTACTGTCCCAGTCAGTAGGGAATTAAGAGAGCAAGAAAAAGAAAAGAAAAAAAAAGTGGCAAGATGGGCCAGGGCTATCTGACCCTGCTGCCAGCTTTACCCAGCCAGTGAATAGACAGGCAGGCTGGCAGCAGCTGCCTGTTCCTGTCCTGAGCTGTTATGTGCTTTAAAAAGTTAGTGTAAGGGTCTGTTGAAAATATTATGTGCCCCCTCTGTGTTGATGGTATGTTGGTTGACAGAAAAAGCAGTATTACCTGATCCTTACTACCATGAAAATCTGGAGAATTGTTTGAAATTGTGCAGGTCTAGGTCTGCACAATGCAAAATGGTCTATCCACCACTTTGATTTTCATCATGTAATTTTTGATGGTGCTTTCTCAGAGTAGTATTTTAGAGTAAACTTTACCCATAATCAATATTTGCTAAGGTAATTGTATATTTTCTGTATTTTTATGTTGACTTTGCTGACAATTTACACTGACTCTGACATACATTTTTAGCCGAGTAATCTTGGTGGTATAGCTCTTCTATAAAAGGTGTGATAATCTCTTCTGTAAAATGTTAAGTAATCTGTAGATGAAACACTTTGAAATAATTAGAACGTCTATTGCTCACATTTGTACTACATAAAGTGTGTGTTTGGGCCACTACTTGCCAGATATTTCTAAAATATGGAATTCCTCTTTGCAAAATGTGTGCATGTTGATGTTCTCCAATAGCATGAAAATTCCACTACGTATAATGGCACCTCTTCTACCTGTTGAAGGGGCTCATTGCCTTTCTTCAGAGCCTCATTTACTTTGCTGGATTGTAGAACATCCGAGTTGCTTTCAGATCCAGGATCTAATATTTGAATGAGTCCTGTGTAATCTGTAAAAAGTATGTGAACATCATACACATATTCCACAGGGGTGTGCCAGATATCTGAGCATATATAGAAAATTGCCTCTCAGTGAACACTCATTCTGCTTCCATTAGCACTAAGCATGCTCCTTTCAGGATTTTGGGGTTGTGCTTATTTCATGCATGGGATGTACAGTGTTTCCTCAGAATTTGGTCAGTTGGTAACTGGTCACTTAAGAGTATACTGATATTGAATAATAGGCTATGTATATAAAAGAAACATACAATTCCCAGAAGAAAATCAGACATCAGACATGTAGAATTGTAAGAGCCTTCTCACTACCAAATTCATACGTAGTCTACCAAAAAAACATGAGTAAACAAAAAAAGCTAATACTGAAAAATTGCTTATAACTAAAATGTATTTTCAGAACGCTGCAAATGTAAGCCCATTAGAGCTACACAGAAGACCTATTTCCGGAACAATTACAACTATGGTAAGGAGAACTTCATGGTTGATTTTGGCCTGCTGTGTTAAGAAAGTTGTGGTGTGTGTGTGTTACATGTACATGTTCCAATACATGTAAATAAGTAAAGCAGATTAAGAAGAAGGCTTAAAAACAAAGGATAACTTTTAAAAGCATAGGCCCTGCTTTAGCCTATGCTCGTAACACACTCCTGATTGTAAGCGTATCAGGCAGCATGGTTGGCATCTTAGCGCCATGTGGAGGTAAGTTTCAAACTAAATGGGCTCTTCTCTTCCTGGGAAGCTGAAGAGGACCTAAGGTTGTGTTTGGAGATGTGTGGGCTGCAGCTGTGCTCCTCTGGTGTGATCAGAAGAACATTCTGAGGCATATGGAAAGGCTACAAGGTCAAAACTTCCTTTCTTCAGTCAGTCTGTCCCATGGAAAACATTGACAGAGTTGAAAAGTAACTCTTAGTAGAAGTTGTTGGTATTTATTCAAGTTTACGTGACATTCTGACAAATTAAATATCAAGGAGCTACCAATCCAAATGAGCTGTCAAGGTGGTTTCCATACACCAGCTTATCTAATGTTTTCAACTCCCCCATGAGGTGCATTATTATCCTGATTTTATGAGGGATTATTAAACCTAAGTTATTCCTTCTTTAATTGTCATAATGTCCTTTAGGGTACTGGTATGCGTCAGTGTCATAAATGACTTACCAACATACTTAGAAGGGGCAATTGTTAGAGTTTTCCTTTTGATAAAATATGGGACTAACCAATATTTATTATATTCCATATGCATTTCATTGTAATTTTTTTCTAATACAGGTTGAGTATTTCTTTCTCAAAATGCTTGGGACCAGAAGTATTACAGATTTTTAAAATTTTCAGAATATCTGAATGTATTTAATTTAGGTATCTTGGGAATGAGAGCCAAGTCTAAACATGAAATTTATTTGTTTTATATGTACCTTATACATTGCCTGAAAGCTTTTTTTTAATTTGGTGGTGGTACTGGAGTTTAAACTCAGGGTCTCACACTTGCTAGGCAGGCCCTCTCTGCTTGAACTACTCTGCCAGCCCTTTTTGTGTGTGGGTATTTTCAAGATAGGGTCTCATGAAATATTTGCCTGGGCTGGCTTTGAACCATGATCCACCTATTCTCTGACTCCAGAGTAGCTAGGATTACAAGCGTGAGCCACTGGTGTTCAGCTGCCTGAAAGTAATTTTATGCAGTCATTTTAGTGTACCTGCTGGTTGACTGTGACCTGTTATATGAGGTCCGGTGTTGAATTTTCTACTTCCAGTGTTGTCTTGGTCATCAAAAGTTTTAGATATTTGGATTAAGGATGCTTAGTCTGTATCTCTAAAGATTGATAAAAGGTCATGTTACTCTCTCTGCAAAAGGCTTAGTCAGTGAGTCAACTTGGCAATTAAATAGACTTTTACAGTGAACTTATTATTAAAATGAGTTTCATTGTGTTTATATGTCCTATAGTTAGAGGATATAGATATATATGCAGATTTATTTCTACTTCTATACTCTTGGGAATTGGATGGAGAGAAATGGTTAAGACTATGTAAGAGTCATCTTTGATCTCTTTGGAAATAATGTGTAGTAAAAAGTATAATATAGTTACCTTTATTTAAAATAAATGTGTCTGGTTTCCCAAGTTTTTTCTTCAGTGGGATCAATTTTTATTTTTTGCTAACTTCTCATCTTGAGTGGAATCTAGCTTTTCTGTCAAATGTTGAAAGGTTGAAAGGTTCTGTTTATCTAAGAATTCAAATGCCTGGCTGCTTATCTAAAGATTCCTTCCCTCTGCAAATTGATGTGAAAAAACCTCAGGAAAAAAGGAGGCCTTAATTTTTAGGAGACTAGCTTTTTGACTGAAAAATGCTGGATGAACTTCTAAGTATACTTATAATAAAAAATTAAAACATAACTTTACACCAGAGAAATTTAGCCAAATTATTTTTTACTTTATTCAACTTCTCTTTGGTACTGCAATATTTGGTGTTGCTAATTTTATTAAAAGTTAAAAATAGTAGTAGTTACAAGAAAAAGATGATGTTAGAAAGTTAGCTTAGTGAATATTATAACATAAAATGGGATATGAATCACAATTAAAAGGAAGGAGGAGATAATTTTTTTTCATAACTAAATAATAACCAGTGTGTCCATGGTTTAGGGATTGTCATTTGTCTGGGACATACAGATTCTTTGGGGGGTGGGAAAGCAAGCACTCCAATAACTAAATAGAAGGAAAGACCCTGAAAAGGAAATATTTTTACTTTCAAAATATGTTCAGATTTATCTTATATATTTGCATGTGTCTGTTGAGAAAACAAAGAAGAGGTAGGGGTAATTGGTAATCCAGACAAAACTTTTCTCTGCCTCATTTAGATTAATTCAGCTAAAAATTCTTGAGTCTTAACAAAATTACTTGAATAATAAAGTAGGTCTTGTAGAGAGATATTTATTTTGGAGTGGGTACATGTGCAAAAAATTTCTAATGAAAATAGTAGACACATTGGGTAAATAAATCATAGTTTGAGAACATTTGCACAGCTCACTAAATCTCTAATGGTTGAAGGATACTATGAAGCAGTCACTATAGCCAGCACACAAATAATGTCTGCTAGCTGACTTTCAAAAAGGGCAATCTTATCTCTTGCTAAAATACAGAACTGAGAGAAGGGACTCCACTTGCAAAGTAGACCAGACAGGGCCAGGTAAGGCAGCTATATTTTGTTTGCTTAAGTTCTTAATTTAAGACTTAAAATACCTGTGAAGCAAAAATAAGGTTTTATCCTAAAGATTTTAAAATTAATCGGTCACTTAATTTCTGTCATATTTAAGTTATACTGGTGGAATACTGATTTTCTGTGATGTAGTTGGAACATCAATGGAGGAGTGGTTTATTAACTGGCTTTCTATTTTTATGGATTACTTTTTTTTAATCCTTTGTAGTTTTAAACTCCTAAAATAAATGGAAAGCTCTTCAAATGGAAATGGCTTGCAGATTCATACCTAAAAAGCTTTCAAAAAGTGAACTCACTGGGATAGTGTTTTCCTCTGTATAACTTTCATCAGTATTGAACTAGCACAATGAGAGTCCCTAAGCAAATGCTATTGCCTTCTGAGTAATTGATATTTTTACTTCTTTCCTACTTTTAAACTTTTCTTTAAAAAGCTCACTTGTCAGAAACAGGAATCTAAAGAATTTGGCTCTTTCAAAGGGGAGATACAGAACAGTAGCAGAACTGTGTTTTCTAGATTCTAAGTCAATTAGTTTGACTTTGCAGCTGAAGGCAGTTTTTCTTTATATTGAGAAGTAAAGTTGACTCTTGTGAGATGGGTTATGCCACTTTGCAGGGCAGATTGTCAAAACTGGCACCTTAAAACCTACTCCATCACATTGATGGGGAAGTAGTGTTAGAGCATCAGACCGCAAAACAGATGGAAGAAACAAGGTATGGTGGTGACAAGTATTATTCAAGAAGAAAATTTAGTAGACATAAAGGAGAGTATAATAGATAATATATATTGAAAAAAAGGAGAAAAGAGCTCAGTCTGAATACTGTGCTCAGAAGGTGAAAACATTGTAGAGCCATTTTGGAACACTGTTGACAGGATAGCCTTATAACACTAAAGAGGCTCTGACTTGAGAAAATCTATTAATAAACCTGATAGAAGAATGCTGTTGAGAAAAAAAAGCACATCTGAGTCAAGGTCTTTATAGTTGGTGAAATTGGCATGGTTTAAATTCCCGCATGCATACATACACTTCAAAAATGAAATTTTGGAGGAAAATTATATCAGATTATTCACTCAAGCTCAGATTATCAAAGTGAATCTCTCAAAATAAAAGACATGAACACACATATGCACACACACACACACACACACACACACACACACACACACATGCCACAAATGGAAAGAGGCTTGGGGCAGAGCATTAAAAGGGCAGGTGTGGCCAGGCACTGGTGGCTCACACCTGTAATCCTAGCTATGCAGGAGGCAGAGATAAGGAAGATTGTGGTTCAAAGCCAGCCCAGGGAAACAATTCTTGAGACCCTAGTTCAGAAAAATCCATCACACAAAAGGGGTGGTGGAGTGACTCAACCTGTAGGCCTGAGTTTAAGCCCCAGAACTGCAAAATAAATAAATAAATGGTGGGGGCAGGTGGAGTGGGGTGGGCAGGTGTGTTATTTAGTTTGTTATTTACCCAAGCCTTTCTCTCTAATCATTGAGCATCAAGGGGAAGTAATTGACTAGAAAGAAGCCTATTTGTCTTTTATAAAAAGGGCATATATTGTAGTTCATGTTACTAAATTGACTTTGTTATCTTTTTCTCCCAGTCATTCGGGCTAAAGTTAAAGAAGTGAAGACAAAGTGCCACGATGTGACTGCAGTTGTAGAGGTGAAGGAGATTCTAAAGTCATCTCTGGTAAACATTCCAAAGGACACTGTCAACCTTTACACCAGCTCTGGCTGCCTGTGCCCTCCACTGAATGTGAATGAGGAATATATCATCATGGGGTATGAAGATGAGGAGCGCTCCAGGTAATTCATCCTTCAAAGATTCAGAATAATTTCTTTGCCTATCCACTCACTGCATTTCTCTTTAGAGATCTTAGGATATTCTTATCTTAGGATCTGTTAACTTTCATGGGGACTAGAAAGAGTTTTTAATTGGATTCCTCAATTTTATATATTAGTACCACACCCTAACCATTGGATTCCTCAATTTTATATATTGATGGAAAGTTTGTGTGATTTTTCTGGAGAGGTGGAACCAGACTTCATTTGTTTCTTAAGGGAGTCTACGATTCCCAAATGGTGAAGAATTACTGTTGTGTAACTTGACTTTCCTGTTCTGGAATAAACATATATAGTCTTTCTTGGCCTGCACATTATCCAAAGTAATTTGCTTTAATTTTTCAAAAGTGGTTGCTTGTTCTAAAAATGCAGGTTACTCTTGGTGGAGGGCTCTATAGCTGAGAAATGGAAGGACCGGCTTGGTAAAAAAGTTAAGGTAAGCCTATATTCTATGTTCAAAGTAATATCATCCACAGAAAACATGAGTAAAAACCAGCCATCTGTCAAATAAATGAAATAACTGCCCTTAACTTAATGAGAATATTAAAACCTGTATTAATATATGCATATATTAATATTCTTAGTATTCTAGCAACTGAGATCGTCTTTAATGTCTATTTCATTTAAGGAATGAGTTCCCTGTATATAAAGATCTAACTACACTTTCCCTAACTTCTCATAAATAACTCTAGCTGTAGGTAGTCCAGTCCTGGTAGGGTAGCTCCATGTTAGCATTAGGGCTTCAGGCTCCTAATAGCTTATTGCTCTGTCATTTCATCCTATGTTTACATGGAGGTCACAAGATGGATGCTCTACCTCCAGTGTCACACTTAATTTCAGGCAGAAAGAAAAGGGAGGTAAAAGGGATTTCTAAGAGCTTGAACCAGCAACTTTTATTTTTGTTTTTACAAAAATAAATCTGGGACTGGGTTTTGAACTCTGTGCTTACAAAGCAGGCATTCTACTGTTTGAGTCATACCTCCAGTCCTCTAACCAGCAGCTTTTTCATTGAACTTTTGGTCAGAACTGGGTCAATCCCTTGCTGCAAGACAGACTAGGACATGTAGGGTTTTTTTTTGTTTTTTTCAAGTTAGGTGTGTTGTTTCTTGTACAAACTGCAGATCTGTGGGAAGATGAAAAGATATGGTGGGCAGGAAAATACCAAGATTGTCCAATGCACAGACATCAGTTCCTATGTATAAGTTGCAGCCACAGTGATCTGTGTACAAAAGATTTGGCCAAATTGGGTCCTTAAAACAGTAATGAAGCTTTATTTATTATTATTATTTTAAATGTATTATTAAATTTTCTGAGTAAAGGTCATTAACAATTATGAGCGGTATCCTTTTTTTCCTTCTTGGTGGTGCTAGAGATTGAATCCAGGCCCTTGAGCATGCTAGGCAAGTTTTCTACCACTGAGCCCTATAGTTTTATTTTTAATTCAGTGACTCTTATATTCTGGAATTGATACATTAACAAAAATCAAGTCATAAATTACTTAATTATAGAAGACTTCCATTTCTTCTTATTGAGCTAAATAAATCTGTTTCAAATAAGAGAATGTGTGTGGGAAATACATAGGGGGTTGAAGAATCTGAAAGGATGTGTGTTTAGATGGGGGCGGGGAGTGGGAACTGTACCAAACATAATACATCCTCTTCCTTCTGCAAGTTTGAAGGCTTGGGAAACATTTACAGATCAGTTAAACACCCCTGGGCAGTTGATCTTATACATCTGGGACTCAATACAGCAGGCACATTTGAGTTTAAAGAAAAATGAAGAGGGCATTGGTCTATAGAGAGAAACTATCACCAGTAAATTCCTCTTTTTCCCCAGTATGTTTGTCAAAAGTGATGCATTTCAAGTGCAGACTTGTGGTTTTCTCTATTTGCGTCTCTTTTTAATTAATTCAGTGATTATTTATTAAAGAAGGGGCTCTTCTTTGCTATGTTGGAATCGCTTACTGTCCTTTTAATTTGGTTTTCTGCTTGCTAATGCAGAACAGGAATTTGTCCTAAATTCCTGCACCAGTTGGAAGAACATTCAATATCTCTACTAAGAGCATGTAAAAAGCCTGGCTGCTTCTGTTGTCCACAGGGCACATGTCTTGTTCCTGTTTCGTAGCAAGGTGTACGTTACTGCTTTTTATGTGATTTCACAAAGTTATTGTGATCATTTATATTCTCAGTCTAGATTTAAACATATTAATAAGAAGAAATTGGCCAATAACTTGGGCATTTAAAAATTCATACTCAGAGCCAAAGCTTTTGGGTGGAAAATCTCTTGTGGCTAAAATTATTGGGGTCCTATTTTAGTTCTCCAGTTAACTTAAGGATATAAAAAGAATTTTATGGAAGATTTTTCTTATTTAATCAAAGTTGCTCTTTTCAGCTGATTTTTATTCTAAGCAGGTAGAGCAATTATTTTTTTTTCATTTTTCTTTTATTATTCATATGTGCATACAAGGCTTGGTTCATTTCTCCCCCCTGCCCCCACCCCCTCCCTTACACCCACTCCCCCCCTCCATCTCCCCCCCCAATACCCAGCAGAAACTATTTTGCCCTTATTTCTAATTTTGTTGTAGAGAGAGTATAAGCAATAATAGGAAGGAACAAGGGTTTTTGCTGGTTGAGATAAGGATAGCTATACAGGGCATTGACTCACATTGATTTCCTGTGCATGTGTGTTACCTTCTAGGTTAATTCTTTTTGATCTCACCTTTTCTCTAGTTCCTGGTCCCCTTTTCCTATTGGCCTCAGTTGTTTTAAGGTATCTGCTTTAGTTTCTCTGCGTTAAGGGCAACAAATGCTAGCTAGTTTTTTAGGTGTCTTACCTATCCTCACCCCTCCCTTGTGTGCTCTCGCTTTTATCATGTGCTCATAGTCCAATCCCTTGTTGTGTTTGCCCTTGATCTAATGTCCACATATGAGGGAGAACATACGATTTTTGGTCTTTTGGCCAGGCTAACCTCACTCAGAATGATGTTCTCCAATTCCATCCATTTACCAGCGAATGATAACATTTCGTTCTTCTTCATGGCTGCATAAAATTCCATTGTGTATAGATACCACATTTTCTTAATCCATTCGTCAGTGTGGGGCATCTTGGCTGTTTCCATAACTTGGCTATTGTGAATAGTGCCGCAATAAACATGGTGTGCAGGTGCCTCTGGAGTAACAGTCTTTTGGGTATATCCCCAAGAGTGGTATTGCTGGATCAAATGGTAGATCGATGTCAGCTTTTTAAGTAGCCTCCAAATTTTTTTCCAGAGTGGTTGTACTAGTTACATTCCCACCAACAGTGTAAGAGGGTTCCTTTTTCCCCGCATCCTCGCCAACACCTGTTGTTGGTGGTGTTGCTGATGATGGCTATTCTAACAGGGGTGAGGTGGAATCTTAGTGTGGTTTTAATTTGCATTTCCTTTATTGCTAGAGATGGTGAGCATTTTTTCATGTTTTTTGGCCATTTGAATTTCTTCTTTTGAGAAAGTTCTGTTTAGTTCACTTGCCCATTTCTTTATTGGTTCATTAGTTTTGGGAGAATTTAGTTTTTTAAGTTCCCTGTATATTCTGGTTATCAGTCCTTTGTCTGATGTATAGTTGGCAAATATTTTCTCCCACTCTGTGGGTGTTCTCTTCAGTTTAGAGACCATTTCTTTTGATGAACAGAAGCTTTTTAGTTTTATGAGGTCCCATTTATCTATGCTATCTCTTAGTTGCTGTGCTGCTGGGGTTTCATTGAGAAAGTTCTTACCTATACCTACTAACTCCAGAGTATTTCCTACTCTTTCCTGTATCAACTTAGAGTTTGGGTCTGATATTAAGATCCTTGATCCATTTTGAGTTAATCTTGGTATAGGGTGATATACATGGATCTAGTTTCAGTTTTTTGCAGACTGCTAACCAGTTTTCCCAGCAGTTTTTGTTGAAGAGGCTGCTATTTCTCCATCGTATATTTTTAGCTCCTTTGTCAAAGATAAGTTGTTATAGTTGTGTGGCTTCATATCTGGTCCTCTATTCTGTTCCACTGGTCTTCATGTCTGTTTTTGTGCCAGTACCATGCTGTTTTTATTGTTATTGCTTTGTAATATAGTTTGAAGTCAGGTATTGTGATACCTCCTGCATTGTTCTTTTGACTGAGTATTGCCTTGGCTATTCATGGCCTCTTGTGTTTCCATATAAATTTAACAGTAGATTTTTCAATCTCTTTAATGAATGTCATTGGAATTTTGATGGGAATTGCATTAAACATGTAGATTACTTTGGGAGTATCGACATTTTTACTATGTTGATTCTACCAATCCATGAGCATGGGAGATCTCTCCACTTTCTATAGTCTTCCTCAATCTCTTTCTTCAGAAGTGTATAGTTTTCCTTGTAGAGGTCTTTCACATCTTTTGTTAGGTTTACACCTAGGTATTTGATTATTTTGAGGCTATTGTAAATAGAATTGTTTTCATACATTCTTTTTCCGTTTGCTCATTGTTAGTGTATAGAAATGCTAATGATTTTTCTATGTTGATTTTATATCCTGCTACCTTGCTATTGATGATGTCTAGAAGCTTCTGAGTAGAGTTTTTTGGGTCTTTAAGGTATAGGATCATGTCGTCTGCAAATAGGGATATTTTGACAGTTTCTTTACCTATTTGTATTCCTTTTATTCCTTCTTCTTGCCTAATTGCTCTGGCTAGGAATTCCAGTACTATGTTGAATAGGAGTGGAGATAGTGGGCATCCTTGTCTGGTTCCTGATTTTAGAGGGAATGGTTTCATTTTTCTCCATTAAGTATAATGCTGGCTATAGGTTTGTCATATATAGCTTTTATAATGTTGAGGAACTTTCCTTCTATTCCTAGTTTTCTTAGAGCTTTTATCATGAAATGATGTTGGATCTTATCAAAGGCTTTTTCTGCATCTATTGAGATGATCAAGTGGTTTTTGTCTTTGCTTCTGTTAATGTGGTTTATTACGTTTATTGATTTTCGTATGTTGAACCACCCCTGCATCCCTGGGATGAAGCCTACTGGTCGTGGTGAATAATCTTTTTGATGTGTTGCTGAATTCGGTTTGCCATTATTTTGTTGAGGATTTTTGCATCAATGTTCATTAAGGAGATTGGCCTATAGTTCTCCTTTTTGGAGGTGTCTTTGCCTGGTTTTGGGATAAGTGTAATACTGGCTTCATAAAATGTGTTTGGCAGTTTTCCTTCCCTTTCTATTTTGGAACAGTTTAAGGAGGGTTGGTATCAGTTCTTCTTTAAAGGTCTGATAGAATTCAGCAGAGAATCCATCAGGTCCTGGACTTTTCTTTTTGGGGAGACTCTTGATTGCTGCTTCAATTTCATTTTGTGTTATAGTCTATTCAGGTGATTAATTTCCTCTTGGTTCAGTTTTGGATGATCATATGTATCTAGAAATCTGTCCATTTCTTTTAGATTTTCAAATTTATTTGAATATAGGTTCTCAAAGTAGTCTCTGATGATTTCCTGGACTTCCATGGTGTTTGTTGTTATCTCCCCTTTTGCATTCCTGATTCTACTAATTTGGGTTTTTTCTCTCCTCATTTTAGTCAGGTTTGCCAGGGGTCTATCGATCTTGTTTATTTTTTCAAAGAACCAACTTTTTGTTTCATTAATTCTTTGTATGGTTTTTTTGGTTTCTATTTCGTTGATTTCAGCTCTTATTTTTATTATTTCTCTCCTTCTATTTGTTTTGGGATTTGCTTGTTCTTGTTTTTCTAGGAGTTTGAGATGTATCATTAGGTCATTGATTTGGGATCTTTCATCTTTGTAATATATGCACTCATGGCTATAAACTTTCCTCTCAAGACTGCCTTAGCTGTGTCCCATAGGTTCCGGTAGGTTGTGTTTTCATTTTCATTGACTTCCAGGAACTTTTTAATTTCCTCTTTTATTGCATCAATGATCCATTCTTCATTAAGTAATGAGTTATTTAGTTTCCAGCTGTTTGCATGTTTTTTGTCTTTACTTTTGTTGTTGAGTTCTACTTTTACTGCATTGTGGTCAGATAGTATGCACGGCATTATTTCTATTTTCTTATATTTGCTGAGGCTTGCTTGTGCCCTAGGATATGATCTATTTTGGAGAAGGTTCCATGGGCTGCTGAGAAGAATGTATATTGTGTAGAGGTTGGATGAAATGTTCTGTAGACATCTACTAGGTCCATTTGATCTATTGCATATTTTAGATCTTGGATTTCTTTATTGAGTTTTTGTTTGGATGACCTATCTATTGATGATAATGGAGTGTTAAAGTCTCCCACAACCACTGTGTTGGCGTTTAGAGCAATTATTTTAAAAAAGACCTTTGATATGGTTTCCCATAAAAAATGATAT